GAGAGAGAGACAGAGAGCGGGAGAGACAGAAAGAGAGAGACAGAGACACAGAAAGAGACAGAGAGAGGGAGAGACAGAAAGAGAGAGACAGAGACACAGAGAAAGAGACAGAGAGACAGAGACAGAAAAGAGAGAAACAAAGAGAGACAGACAGAGACAGAGACAAAGAGAGACAGCGAGAAATAGAGACAGAGAAAAGAGCGAGATAGAGAGACAGAGAAAGACAGAGAGATAGAGACACACAAAGAGAGAGACAGACAGACAGAAGGACAGAGGGAGACAGAGAGAGAGACTGAGACAGACAGAGAGACAGAGTGAGACAGACAGAGAGACAGAAAAAGAGAGACAGAGAGAAAGACCGAGACAGATAGAGACACAGAGTGTGTTTGTGTGTCCTGTGTCCCGAGGTTCACATCACAAAGTGCAGACAGACCTCGACAGTATCACAGGTTTGCCTCCAGACCAGTGACGAGAGCCCCATGCCCGTTGGTTTCCTGGCGCAGATCAGCTGTGTCCACCCCACAGCCAACTGAGCGTGCAGCCAAACTGTGACACAGAGAAGAGACGTGATCACACGCTGCTGGGGAAAAAGGCGATCTAGCTGACTGCTTAAACACTCACCAAAAACACAATGCAATTATGCGCTGAGCAAAACTGCTGCCAAAGACCCCCTTTAAAGTGCTAAAGAGCAAGGATGTCAGTTTAAAGAGTAAGGTGCACCTTCCTCAAGCCACTCTGAAGTGGTTTCAATCACCCCACATCCCTGTGAGAGGTGGCCCATGGACAAGCAGAGGGAGGACAAATGGATGTCTTTGTGGTGTTGAGAAAGAGCATTGGATGGACCATGAGCTGCAAAGAGCAAACTGGAGCCAGAATGTCCCTGAGAAGGATGGTGAGGCTTCTTCTGATATATCTTAGGAATCATATCAGGAAGGACCTGTCCCTGGAGAAACACATCGTGCCTGGTAAAGTGGAGACCAGTGAAGAGAGGAAGCCCTCAGGGAGCTGGATTGGCACAGAGGTCACAGCCGGGGCTCCGGCTCAGCAGTGACCAGGCAAAGCTTTGCTCTGCGGCGTACAAGGTCGCCGTGAGCTGGACCTGACTGGACTCGATGGCCCATAATGACAAAAACAACCACACATGTTTCTGAAGGACAGCACCCGGCTGTTTTTCTCAGGTACCTGTGTGTTGGGGTCAGATCACCAGCCTTTTTGGTCAGCAGCCAGATGTATGTTTGCACCAGCTGGGGACCCCTCTTCCCGGATCACTCTTGGCCTCGCATTCTCCCTTCCCAATTCCTTCCATACCCCCACAGTTTTCCCTACTGTTTCTGACCCCTCATGTCTGCCTTGCATCTCTCCTTCCACTGTCCTTACACTCCTCTCCTTCCTTCCTTCCTTCCTT